ACCCTATCCTCTTCCGACAAACTGATTTCGACTCAGTTTTCACCTAACACCGAGATTTTAAATTTGAAAAAACATTCTTAAGAGTAAAAATCAGAGAAAGTATAGGGCTGGTAAGAGGAAATATGGGAGCGGCCCAAACGATAGCAATTTATGTTAGAACGACGTCATTAGAGTAACGGAGAGGGACAAAAACCGGCGACCTTAGAAAAACGATAGAGAGAGAGAGAGAGATTTGGAATCTTACATGGTATGAACCCAACGGAGAGGAACATCGTGGGAGGCAATGACGACGAGATCAGCATCCACGTGTAATCTAGCAAGAGATCTGAGCATGACACGTATAGCCACGTAGAACTCATAGTCTCTTGGCGTCCCCATATACATCATCGTCGCATATGCATTTTTGTGCCGCTGGCGTTGCCCCTCTTGCTGCTGCTCTATCTGGGGTGCCCTCATGACCTCTCCAAACGCTGTCGTTTTATACACAGCGAAAACTAACACCAGCAAAAGCCTCAACATTAACCAAGGCTCTCGAGAAGAAGCCATGGTGGGTGGGTTTTAAAATTATATGAAATCAAGAGAAATTAAAGAGCCCTTTAAATTGAAAGATTAAAAAAAAAGGGCAAGGGGCGGGGGTGTTGTTTATGTTAGCTAACGTGATGAGCTTGAAAAATATTTATGATATAGTAATTGCAGATACTGTTTTTCTTGCTTTCTCGATGAGTGTTGTTGACATGTCTTGGGTCTGTCTCTCCTTGTGTTTTTATAGATGAAAAGTAGCCATGGCCTATGAGAGATAAGGGCCAGCTCTGGAAGGGGGAAAGAGATGGAAGCATACAAGGAAAGCTCTTCAAAACTAATAAAATATTTATTTTGCATAAAAGAGTCGTTTTATTTGTAATTTCAATCCTGTGACCAGCATTTTATACCATATTTGTGAGTGCGGTAACGTTTACTCGTTAGGATATTTTTTATTTAGAAATATAATAAAATAATACAATTTTTTATCTTTTAAATTTATTTTTAATATTAAATACATAAAATAATTCTAAAAAAATGAATTTAAAATTCAAAAAAATTTAAAATATAATTAGACCGTGACACAGAAAAGCGTTAGCCGTTGGCTATGTGCAAAACGGGCCTTGGTACCCCTGTACGGTCAATATTAACCTTTTCTTCTTCTTCGTAGGAAGCACTGTCGTCCTTTTTATTTTTTCTTGGTTGTGGAAATTGGATATACTTTTATATTTTAAGACTTCATTATAAATTTCAAAAGCAAAAGGTTTTTTTGTTTTTAGCGATTGACGAGCCTAAGCTCAGACTAAAAATACAAAGAGTTAATACTTGTAAAATGCAAGCGTATGCATATAATTTTAGGACAAGAGATTTTTTATATTTTATTAAATTACAATATTTCTTTATCCAAAAAACTAAAAAAAAATTTTTTTTGTTAATTTTTCAAATTTGTTATGAGTTTGGAAAGCACATTTTGGAAATTCTTCACAATTTCTCAATATAAGTTTTCCACTTTTTTATACAAAAAAACATAAACAATACAATTTTTCTTTCGTATACAAGCCCTTTTTACCAATAGTGAAGATTATAATTATTTTTTTATATTTTTATTTTTAGTTGGTATCATAAATTTTATTTTTATTATAAATATAATGTAATTTTTAAAGTTAAAATTATAACTTTTTCATGATAATTTTTAATTTGAATGAAATAAAATTGATATTCTATAAGTAAATCATTATGAATAAAAAAAATATGAAGATGACTACTATAAATTATGATTTTTATTTTTTTATAAAAAATAGCTATAATTTTGATGTATTTTTTTGTGGAAAATTCATGAACAATCTTCTTTTTTTAAATTTTTTCATGGAAAAAAAACTAAAGATAAATTTATTTTTTTACCTAACACTAAAAAATTCCGAAATTCAAAGGTGGGGGTTGCTGCCCTCCTCTTACTATCTCTTCTAGCATCAGCTAGTGATATATCCTTGAGAGTGAACTTCCACGTCTGTCATGCTCAAAATTAGAAAGCAAATTAGTGCACCGATCATCATGGCATATTACGTGACTAACATGTGTTAATAAACATAGACATCTACGTTCTTAAAATTATATTTTTTACACCATATAAAAAATATAAAATAAATTTAGATTATAAAAACATATCATAAAATTATAAAATTATATAAAAAAATTTCATATAAGGTCCAAACATCGTAAAATATATATTTCAAATCAAAATTCATAATTTAAATATTTTAAAATACATAAAAAAATATTGTTCTCATCTCTTAAATATGAACTCATCAATACCATATATTGATATTAAATCCTTAAACTTTAAAACTATACGATATACATATCTCTTGATATTAAATCTTTAAAGTTACTATATCTCAACACTTTCTATGTATCAGGATTTGTTTGTTCAAATCCACCTTTCATACAATATTTTTTTTATTTTAAGATAGAAAGAATCTCAAATTATTTAAACATTCCAAGCTTTGCAACAATCGATACTGGGGTAAACTTCCATGTTTTGAATGAATACTTCAATTAGTTATAAAGTAACTATAGAAATGAAAAGATCTAACATGCAAAGGAAGATTAACATCCATTTCTAAGCAGTCCAATGCAAAATTAAATTTGAACCTCTCTCTTTCATGAAGCAATTACCAAGTAAAACCTAACTGTTGGGGAATCTGATTGGTGATGTACTAATATTTACTTATAAGAAGCTAAGCATACTGACACAATATTTAACTTTAATCGGCAAATCGCCTACATCCATAAGAGAAGCCATTTTTTATATAGGAAGAGTATATGATTTACAACAATAGATGAGGAGACCAAGTAAAACCTAACTGTTGGGGAATCTGATTGGTGATGTACTAATATTTACTTATAAGAAGCTAAGCATACTGACACAATATTTAACTTTAATCGGCAAATCGCCTACATCCATAAGAGAAGCCATTTTTTATATAGGAAGAGTATATGATTTACAACAATAGATGAGGAGTAACCATCCACTCTTTTAGCAACTCTCAACCTCACTCTATTTCTTTCAGCAGCCCATCCACTCTTCTATTCTCCAGATTGTTTTTATTTCTTACTTATGTTTGACAGCAGCTTATCCTATCATAAGATCTATCCAAGTCAAAATAGGGTGTCAATCTTTATCCCTTTATTGTATTTCTCTTTCACTATCAAGGTCTTCATCAATTGTCCCATTGAGAAATTACAATCACTAAATCTAACTTCTTTGGAGAAATCGTCACTCCATCAGATCCTTAATAATACGAAACCCAATTGTTTCTTTGTGCGGTCATCTTGCTAGTCTTTAACAGTTTCATAACAAATTATCATATATACAAAAATTGTACTATATAGATAATCTTTCCACTAAGCAAGTTCTCATGAATGATTGGAGGGGTCACAACAGTCCCGCTTAAAGCCCAATCTCCCAACCAAAACTTCTTAGTCTATATCTATCTATCATACTGTCTTTTCATATATACAACCATTTGCTAGCTTTGTTGTAGCTTTCCTTAGCAAGTGATCTAGAATATTTTGGTTTTATACCTGATTTCTCAACATTTGGCGAGACTATTAGTGCATAGATTTGTCTAGATTGGTCTTCATCAAATTTCACTCTCCACCTCAAATTGTCCATATGATCAGGTGTCTAGAGTGTCTCAATTTTTCTTTCCCTCAAGGCAATTAAAATTTCCCCACATAATAGTTCAACACATATAATTGGATAAACATGTGTGATTTCTTCTTCTTCATCTCCATCGACCACCATGATGACCTTTAGATGCCTCCTGATGGGGCAATGTCTCTGTAATAATTCACCACTATCATTTCTAGTCTCAATCTCAATGATCGGATTATATCATTACATTCGGATGATCAAACTAGCTTGAAATAAGTCTATAATCATCCAAATCGCACTTCAGACAACTAAGATTTGATCAAAACAATTCTGGAATAATTAGCGGTCCAGATTCAATCTCAGATCCGGTTGCATAAAGGCTCAGCTATACTGGATCCTGTCCTACGGCTCGCAGCTCAGTTTGACTCAGTCAGCTCGGCTCGCGCTAATGATATGGCAACTAGGTCCCACTTTGCTGACCGGTCGATGACATAACATGCCACTTGTTCATGCTGATGTAATGATGATGTCATTATCATCTAGATCTTGCACGTGGGTCGGGTGTATGTGACACGTAACGTGCATGGCCAACCACCTTGCTTGCGTGTGAGGGCGATTCTGACATCCGATTTCAATACGATTTTCAACAGT